ATACATACATACATACATACATACATACATACATACATACATACATACATACATACATACATACATACATACATACATATATATATATCACTTATCTTTTCTTTCTCTACAGGTAACATTACATGCAGATTTTTTGAAAAACTTTAAACCTGATTTTTTTCTTATCACAATTTAATCAAATAGCATCTGTTTTCACATTATTTCATTTTTAATGTTGATTAAATGTTGAATTAATTATGAATAAATATTCAATTATTATGTATATAAAACTTTAGAGTGAAATAAGATTTTATTATCTATTCATATCTTTGAAGCTTATTTTGCATAAGAATGGCTGTTTTTATAATTGCTTAAAGTAATTTAACAAATCCGGATTTTATTTTTGCGTTTATGTTAAAAGAGGTTTGCGCAAAGAATTAAAATCAGTTGAAAATTTATCGAAAATATCACAGCATGAATATACATATATTATCGTGACATGCGACATTTATTAATTATTTATTTTCTCTCATTTAAATACCTTTCTGCAATTAAAATTTATTCTCCTAAATGAGAATACAATTATTACGTGCATCGGAACATACAAAAAATAAATAAAAAATTTTAACACAGAGAGGTTAAATCGATTTAATTAATTATTTGTATCAGAAAACTTTCCCTAATTCTAAAGTTAAAGAGAATTAAATTTTACAGTGTAAGTTTAAATCAGTTATCTAAATATTTACCCTGTAAAAGTAATTTTTACTTTTTCATGTAAAGGAATGCATGTTTATTTATAGAAAATAAAATCATATGGTACAAAATAATCCGCATTGAAAGGTTTATTTGTGTTGGCAAGCACAGCATCGAGAGAGGATTTAGGTAAAATACAATGTAGTTAATAGCATCGCTCGATTCTTAGAAATTTGCTCGGATGTACAATTTACAGCAATTTCTTTAGCATTTGAAAAAAGAATATATTTTTTATCTAATGTGCCAGCGCTTGTGATTTGTATAATGCCATAGGATAATCAAGTTAGAACGTAATTAGGTTTGTATAAGAATGAGATAATATCAATATTATTCAATACGTGATTTTTAGTAAAAATATTGGAATAGTCGACATATTAGAAAATTTTACTTATTTCCATTTTTATTTTATGAAAATGAGTTTGACGCAACGTTTTTTTTATTCCTAGATTAGATAAAAAAAAGTAAAATTAAAGCTATATTAGATTGCATGGTTCGTTTGTACGTAAATTAGTTTAGCCAATTATTAGGAATCTTAGAGATTCTTGTAGTTAATTTAAGTAGAAATTTTCAATATCGAAAGCTTTGACAAATCAAATTTCCGTCAGTGGATGTACTTCAAATTTCAATAAGAAGCAGAGCAAAGAAAATGAATAAAAAGAAGGAAAATATTTTAATTTGCTTCGCATTAAACACATTCGCGTCTTGTCTTTAATCGTCATATAGATAATCTAGGAGATAATAAGTTCTGAAATGATATTCTTAAATTGTTAAAACTTGCAATTCTGATAGTGCGAATGTGTTCAAATAGTTAATGATATCAACATTTTTTTTAATAATACGACTTACATGTTATCGGCATTTTCGCAGCTGGCATTGATCGACCGGCACGTACCGTGTCCTTAAGAGGTGATAGAGGGTCCCGAGCCTTCTCATCCCTGGAGTTGGACACCGTCGTTGAGGAGCGTTCAGATCCCGAGCAGAGCACTGCTCTCGAATTAAGTAGTCCTGACTAGCATCCGGCTTTGGCATCGTCGAGGTAATAACGATAAGATACGTTAAAATTATCCCGCCTCATTTATAAATTCTCGTAAAAATATTGCTAATTACACGATACGAATCTCTAACTTCAAATCAGTATTTTCTTCAAGAAATGCAATTTTAAAGTTAATAAAAAAAAATGTCTCATCTACGAAACGGCTGTAGAGAAAATAATTGCATCGAATAAAGTTTGTATGGTGAAACTTTATGGATTAATAACTGTGGATTAATATGGATTAACTTTATGGATTAATAACTATGGATTAATAACTTTATGGATTAATAACGAGCTCCATTCGATTTATGGATTAAGCAACTAATACAATACTTTGTTAATACCGTACAATAAAAATGATACTTGTCCGCTAATTAACAATAACTCGACGCGATCAGAATTATATTTTTTACAAATATATATGAGTAACTGAAAGATTACAAGAAAATGTTGTACAAAGCTATGTATTTCTTTTTTAATTTATCTATTCTTTTCTATATTAACTCTTCTTTTCTCTCCTTTATAAATTGAATTTTTATTCGAATTTATAAAGGAATATGAATCATGAACGCGGAAGATGCTAGTTGGACAACAGCTACACCTAAAATCAGAATTAAAATATTAATAACTAAAATACAGTAAAATATAAGTTACAATTACAATATCATTGTTGACTGGTCCAGATTTAGAACGTCTGTCCCTCTTCCTTTTTTTGCGCCAAGAATTTTTCATATAACGATTTCTCATTTTTCTCCCTCATATTCATCCGTGATAAAGAATTTCTGATTAACTTTAAATTGATATTTCTTTCACAAAAGCGTCGTTTTAAAATGAATAAAAAGTTATCCCACTTATAAGTCTTTATTCTGAAAGCAATCTCACCAATCGAGAAGCAATTTGAATAATGGCGTAACAATTGCGCATAAGCCTTGAAAAATTCATGAATTATTTGTCGTAATAATCATTACAATTTCGAATCAATGAAAATCGAACTACCTGCTAATTAATGGTCCTCAAGAGGCAATTAAACTCATGTTTTTAAAAGAGAACGCAATCGAATAAAAAACAGTCTATGAGCGTCACACGGAACTACATTTATACTTTTTCTTTTCGTATTTCCGCAATATGAATTTATCTGCATTACAAATCGATTTAGAAGGAATGTGCCACTTGGTCGATGGTTAAACATAGACGTAAGAAACAATCAAAACACTGTAATGGCGTCAAAATACTTTATGACTTTTTCTCCCCCGACCCTCTTCCATGACGTAAATTTTCTCAAAAATATATGGGATATAACTTTTTATTACATGTAATTAAATACGAATTAATATTTCTTTCAGAAGTGCAATTTGAAAATTAATAAAATCTTCATCAGTGACGTTGATAATAGTCGCATCGATCGAGAATAAACAATTTGAATAGACGTCAGTGTTCTCTACCAATTGCGCGTAGCCTTTAAAAACTCGTTAGACCGATAAAAAACAAACAGCTCTCTAATTAGCAGCACTTGCAATGCAATTACAAACTCGATATTTCTCGAAGAGAACGCGTGTAATTGAATAATAATTCGCGAAAACTCGAGCGCGCGTCACACAAAACTACATTTCTTTTATTTCTTCCTCTTCGTTTCGCTAGCAATCTGAATTTATCTGAATTACGCGAATAACGTAGGAGAAACGCGCTGATTGAACGATGCTTGTACTCAAGATAATTACAATGATGCCAAAATACTTAGGCTTTCTTTTTTCTCTTCCTCTTTCCCAATCATTTTTGGCGTCAAAAATAGTCTCAAAAATCGGGATATTTTTATTCCTCATCCATTCAATAAGAGCAACTTAAATAGAACACAGAAAT